AGTCATGAGAGGGAAAATTCTAATGACAGCAATGAGCAAAAGGCAAGTGCACTTTGGGATTCAGTTTGCGTAGCTTTCGACTCTTTAGCAACATATTTTCACTCTTATGTTATTTCGTGTGGGAGCCTACTATCGCTTTAAGTCAAACAGCCAAGTTTTCAAGAAAGCAAGCTTCTGGCAAAGAGCTGTAGGTACTAGGTAGTTAATTCAGAACATCTGAAACTTATATTTAAAACCATTTCAAGGCATTCCAAAACAGCGAAGCACTCACGAAAACATAAAACACTCGTGCATTCTTACTGACAGCGTCTCGCAGCTCCATCTCACAGGCACAGCTCACTGTAATCCCATTCTCTCACATTTGTGATTCTCACAACTTCAGCACCCGTTCCCCAACCCCCTCCTGCAGCTCGTGCTCAAGGTCACTATACCGTCTCCTAGCGCCGGCGCAGTTCCCAGAGCGCTGACTGAATCACAGACTCAGCAGAGAGCCATGACTCGGTGACTCAGCCGGGCTGCCTTTCCGGGGAGCTGCCGGGCCAACTGGGGGGGGGGAGGGGGAGGAAGGGGAGTCGCTGTCTGCCAGTTGGGGAGGGAGGGGGATCCAAGAAGGAAAGGGAGACCAGCCTACTGACTGGTGATGTGACGGTCGGGACATGTTTCCATTGGTCACTATCCATTAGTAACATGCTATTGCAATTTATTGTCATGCCTGACGAGTCATGATAATGAATGATCAGATATATCTCCTCCCGAGTCCCGATTGATGTAACCGTATACCTCTGTAAATGCATTTACACATGTCTGCCTCGTGCGCACAGCACGGACGTCATCCATCCGTCCCCACCCTGCGACCACGTCATTGTCGCGCTGTCCGGCCCTGCTCAGTAACAGCCCACCCCGTACCGCGGACCGGGGGCCCCATGGCCTCGCCGCGCCCGGCCGTCCGTGCTGGTTGCTCGGGCCGGCCGGCCGGGCCGACTTTCGCCCGGCCCGGACCGGTCGCTGAGCCATTCCGCCGCGCCGGCCCGGGCGGCTCGGCGGGCCGGTTTTTGTGGACCGGCGTGAGCCGCCTCCCTCCCCTCCCCCTCCCTCCTCTCTCCCCCTCCCTCCCCTCCCCCTCCCTCCTCTCTCCCCCTCTCCCCGCGGCCTGACGCCCGAGATAGGACGGCGCGTCAGCAGAGGAGCCTGCTCTGAGAGCAGCGCCCGCAGCCAGCCAGAGTCGGCAGCGGTCCCGGCATACAGATCATCACCTGTGATAAGCTCATGTTCGCGGTACTCATGACAAGGAAGGGTTCCAGCAGAATGACTGTTAATGAATTCAACCTGTTCCGGATTGAAGATTGAAGGCCAGCTTTTGCATAGGTAGTTTAATTTGATTTAAAAATTGAGTGGTTTGAACGTAGAGTTCAAAGTCTAGCTGACTACCACGCTCGTTGTTGAGGTTTAGTGAGATAAGATTGAAACTTCTTCAGTACGATATTCCCTGTAATAAAAATGTAGTTGTATCCTGTATCACTTCCTTATTTCACAGACTTCAATCAAGGGTTTAATATTTAAAGTAATGGTGCGCTAACTGTCCCTTTGTGTCGCAGTAACAACTAACAACCCGCGGTGACCGGAGCAGCGTTGTCTGCAGTCTGCAGGAAATATCGTGCCTTCCCATGAAAAAAATTCCACAAGAGACCACAAACATAGGCGGCGGAACGGGGGGGCACCGGGGCACCGTGCCCCCCCTTGAATTCTGCAAGGGGGGCACCAATAGCAAGGTGCCCCCCCCCCTTAAATTTGATGCATTAGTACCAGGGGCGGATTCGGGAAAACTCCAAGGGGAGGGTCATGAATCGAAGTGGTGCCCCTACTTATACCCAAAATTAAAACCTCAACGGATTTCGGCCACTTAATTTTGGTGGTGCCCTATTTTCAGTTTTTTATTTTCTTTATTTTTGGTTAGTCATGTGATGACTGGTGCCCCTGCTAGGCCGCTGGTGCCCCTGGAAAGACTTTGGTACCTACCTACCCTGCCCCCTGACAAGCCTATGGTGGGCCCTGACATGACTTAGGTGCCCATGGGCCCTGACAGGCCCGTGGTGCCCCTGACAGGCCTGTGGTGTCCTTGCTAGACCTGTGGTGTCCCTGGGCCTTGGCAGGTCTGTGGTGCCCCTGGCGAGCCTGTGGTGCCCCTGTTAGAACGCAGGTGCCCTTGACAGGTTTGTGGTGCCCCTGACAATTCTAAAGTGCCAACGACAGGCTTGTGGTGCCCTTGACAGGCCCATGGTGCCCTTGCGAGGCCGGTGGTTCCCCTGCGAAGCCGATAGTGCCCCTGGCAGGCCTCTGGTGCCCCTGGCAGGTCTGTGGTGCCCCTGGAAGACCTGTAGTGCTTTTGCTAGGCCGATGGTGCTCCTGACAGGCCTGTGGTGCCACTGACAGGCCCGTGGTGCCCCTGCTAGGCCTGTGGTGCCCCTGTCGGCTGTCAGGCCTGTGGTGCTCCTGGCAGGCATGTGGTGACCCCAGGCCCTAAGTCATGACCCATGTGACATCCCCCCTGGGATTCGCCACTGATTAGTACTGCGATGGCTTCTTGGGAATTTGATACATGTAGGATAAATTTAATTTATCAAACGACAATAAGGAAGAGGCAAACACATAGGTACTTGAGGATCAGCTTAAAGTTAACCCGCGCCCCACTGGGGGGGGGGGGCTATTTATAGCCCCCCTCCCGTTTTTCTGCAATAACTTCCGAACCGCTTGACGTATCGACGCCAAACTTTCAGTACCTTAGGCTGCATCAATTTGACACCTTGTGTCACAATTTGAACTTCGTATATACTATAGGTCGGCCGGAAATGACGTCAGAGTGACGTAATGTTCGGCCGATTTCGACGCAAAACATTGAACCACGGCAATCGCTCCCAAGAGCTCAGTTTTTAAGCTAGATCCAATTTCTTTGCATGAGAGGACTCAGAATAGACTGCGCTATCAAACTGCTATCTCGGATTTTCGAAATTTGGAAAATTTGGAAAATTTGATATAATAAAATCCAAAAATTATATTTTTACATTTTTTCCAAAAAGTTTTTGACTTTTCGAAAAAAACCGGAATATATGTGATAAAACGCATTATTATGACTAACTCTAGCAAGTTTTAGCTAAATATCTTCAAAAATGGCCAAGTTTCACGCATTATTGCAAAAAATTCACAATTATTAATTTTTCAAATCAATTTTTCAGCACGTATTTGACATCGTACGCCAATATGAATAGCACCATCGTGTTCCTGAGCTCAAACTGCATCCAATAGACACCTTTTTTGTTGAAAAATTTCAACTTCAAAATTTGACATTTTTTGACCTGAAAGTGACCTGACCTAAGCTAAATTCGACTCAAAATGACCTCCAATGACACAGACGACATCAAATTCGAAATCTCAGACCTAAATGGACCATAAAACATGTGTCACGTGACCGACGGGTGATATAATATTTTCGTGACCTGTGATGACCTGACCTTGACCTGAAAATCAAAGTACAAGTTTGGTACCCTCAGGGTATCTAGAGCATCTGTTCACGAGTGTGTGATCCAAAAATGAGCCTGACCTGACTTGTAAGACGGCGGCCAGAGCCCAAAACGTGAACAAGCCAAAATGCTAATAATTTTTACTTTGACCTGATCTGTGACGTCATCGGTGACCTCGAAGTCAATGAAATTATGTTTCGTTCGACAGTTTTTCCGGGGCTATCAGACGCCGTTTGAATTTTGACGATCGGCCCAGTAGTTTCGGAGTTAGGAGGGGGGCTATAAATAGCCCCCCCCCCCCAGTAGGGCGTGTTATACGCAGACCCCAGTGGGGCGCGGGTTAACCACACATACGGGGGTGAACTGCCATTTTCGTTTAGTAAAAAAAAAAAAAATCATCGTGCCAGGGCTGTGACGAAAAATAAGTGGCCTAAATCCGATGAGAAAACAGGATTTGGGGGTACCCTAGGTTTGGCTCCTTGAGCTGGTGCCCCCCCCTTGTCTCAAATCGTTCCGCCGCCTATGACCACAAAATATATTTTAGTGGTTATTGAGGTCTGTTGTGGCGTGAAATGGTTTCTTATGGTCCTAGTGGCCGGTCTAGTGGCATCTAGTAACATATTCTAGTGGCATGTGGTTGTTAATTGACGACGTCCGCTTCCGTCTCAGTTCGCTGGCGTTCCCCTGCCGCTCGGTGTTACCCTAGCCCTTGCCGAATAGTCGTTTTGTCAGTTAATCAGCACGGACGTGGGAGCTGACTTCAGCCGTTCTATTCTGCGTAGGTAGCTAATTACACTCCCTCAACTTTCGTTTGTTTGCTCAATACATTACATAGTTCAATTTACACTTATAAGTTATGAGTATTTTTTTTAGAGGGGAGGGAGCCAGCTACTGTAACAGTTTGTCTACACGCCTGTTTGTAAGGCTTTGTAGTGCGTCGCTTAACGGTGGTTTAAACCTGCGCCATTTAAAACGCCAATAATACCTAGCTGGTAGACCAGCGGCATTATTAATGGGTGATTGACCTTTCGTGAGCCGGGGACTCAGTCGGAATGGCCGTAGTTATTCACCATCATGACTTGTCCCCGATAGTCGTACATACATCATAGAGTTGATAACAGTTTCCCTGGAGCCGACTCCCAACTCGTGGCGCCAACTCCGAGTTCCGACCAGACTCGGCCGACAAGTTTCGGCTCAGAACTCACAAGTCCAACATAAAATGGGCGTTATTTATTATTTGTGTCCACCGGGCTGTATGAGCGTCTAAACTAATAGGAAAATAAGCTTTGTGACCTTCGCCGGATTTGGGAACGCATGCCTGCCGCTCTGTTTCCTCTTGTTTTACTTGTGTTGGTCACCGAGTGGTAAGAAGGGCCTATGTCGCACAGTCGGTAAGGGTGTTTACTCGGCCGCGCAGCGGTGGAATTGGACCTTAGTGACACGGGAAGGCTTGATCGGCAAAATCGGACCTGCGATCCATCCCACAAGGCAGGCGACTATTCCGGTTGGCTGTCCGAGGAGGGAGGGCGCGTTTCGAGCGAGCTGAGTAGCTTTTCAGTGCTGAACTTCCCCGTGACGAGGAGGCACGTATCAACGAGACACGCGCACCGCACGTCATCGCAAGGTTGTGCGAAGGTCATCTGCTGCTGGTTGGCGTTTTATTGGACTGATTGAAGATCAGGTGAGTGGCGAGTCACGCTAAAGTTTACACTAAATTGTATTTTCATAGCATGTAGCGACTTGTAAACTAGTGTGATTTTGAAAGATTCTGCCTATTTCTTGTTGCTGTCATAATTATTCGGTGAATGCTGGCAATTAGTCAATGGCGGAGCCCACAGGATATCAATATTGCAATCTTGGCCTACTTACCTAATCATGAATTCGACATTCGCACGTTCTTTTTACTTTAATCAGTTTTACTTTTCACCTCGTCATCATTAAGATACATTTTGCTTCCGATTTTCATGTGTTGCTGTCACTTACAAGTTACAATTATCGATTTCGGTTTGAAAACCTGTTGCGTTATGTTTTCTCATAACTCATTTCTGCAATCCATATGGCACGCTCTCCCCGTCTTTGCGACTGTTTCGTTACACCGCCCTTTCTCCCGCTCCGTCTGAATCCCCGGCCCATGGTCACGCCACAGACCACGTCAGTCATGGCATGCAAATCGCGAGCTCGGCTGCAGCGCAGTCTCGTCCCGGGCGACCCGACCGGTCCCCGCTCGCCAGAAATACCCCGTCTCTCCCACGGCGCCGCCTCTGTCGGGCGACCTCGCTGCCCCGGCCGTGGCCCGTGAATCAGCTGGCGCGTCCGGGACGCTCGGTTCCCTCCCCTCCCCCCCCCCGGCGGCCAGACGCGCGCGCCCGCACCGGAGCGCCCAACAACAATGGCCGCCGCGCCGCGCCGCCGCATCGACTGGCGTGACCTCCTACCGGCCGGGCGTCAAGAACTGACGGGCCGCCGCGCCCCGGGGGGGGGGGAGGGGGGGCAGTACCGTGGGCGGGGCCGCCACCGCCTGAGGGGGCGGGGAGGGTCACGGGACGTGTTTGCTCGCACTGTGGGGTGAATACGATCGATGCGATGTGGGCGGAAGCGACACAGTGTGGCGCGGGCGGAGCTCCCACAGGTCGGGATGTGACCATATGGCGCGGGACAGGAACGCGCAGGCTGGGACATGACCTGTGGAACAGAACAGGTTGGGACATGAACACTGAACGAGCAGTGAACAGAGCCTTTGTCGAGGAGTGATAAGAAAGGACTGAGACAGATCAGGATTCGATCCGCTATGAGACATGCATTACTCTGCAATGCATAACGAGGCCTAAGGTATGCGAACCTTTTTATCATGTGGGTTGTCCTCAACGTGGCTGTCTCGATCAGTCTAAACGGGATGGAAGTCCCACTCATTTACATTTCAAGGGTGGATGCATCCCTGCATAAATCCCGTGCAACGGCATCGCCTTCCTCGGTGGCGTCAGTTGCACCGAGAACAGGGGGGGGGGGGGGGGTGACGGATCCCTCTGTTTGAATTCGGTGACTCGTTTGCACATTCAACGGGCGGTGAAGCCTGAAAGTGAGCGCTGTGGGGTGCCGGGGAGGCATGACCGCCGACCGGTTCCGTGTCAGACTTTCCGCCGCTCGGACCACTTCCTCGTGCATTTATTCACGATGATCCTTCATGCGTGGCATCTGCCCGTGGGCCGGTGCGGTGGGTCGATTTCTCGCCCGCACCGGCCGGCAGTGGGCTCGGCAGTTCACTAGGCGCGCTGTTTGGTGGCCACTCGGGCCATCCGGCCGACGAACTTTGGTGGCGGGGACGGGACGGGAGGGGGAGGGGTCGTGAAAGCGTCCCGAGCCTTGCCGTGCGTGCGGCCAGTGGAGGCCAGATGGCGCCGCTTTCGCCGCGTCCGTCCGTGACACGGTGACACGTGTGTCATGTGACACGCCGCCGTCGGTCGGTGTCATGCGCGCGGCGCGTCGGCACCGTCTATTGATCGTGAAGCCGAGCAGGCAGCGGCGGCGGCGGCGGCGGCTGCCGGACCGGATCACAGCCCCTCTCCTCCCCTCCCCCTCCTCCACCCGCCCGCCGCGACTCCTGCACTCTGCCCCGCCGCCCCTCCCGCCGTGGGGGAGGGGTGCAGCCCGCCTCAGCGCGGCTGTCGGCCGGCCGGCCTGGCGGGCGGCTCGGAGCCGAGCGACCGGCCACGTGGCCCCAGCGGCGGCGGTGGAAAATTCTCCGCCCGAGCCGCCGCGCCGAGCCGCGCCGAGTCGGCAGTCAGGTGCCTCCGGAGCTGGCTAATTTGCGAACGGTTGCGAGCGCAGGTCACGTCTGCGCTGTCGGAGCGGCCAGAGGGAGGGAGGGGGAGGGAAGAGATACGGAGAAAGCCCAGTCACGGTGGGGAGGGGAGGGGAGGGACCGCCACCGTGGCAGTCGCCGATGGTGCGTCATCTCCTTATAGACATGTGGTGGCGAGTTTATCATAATTCAAAAGATACAGGACTGCGGAACTGGTGCTGCGCCAGAGTGACAGAAATTCTACGAAAGGACATCGGGGTAATCATGAATTTACATTGCGGGGAAATCGTTTTGACTTATCTTGAAAGAAATATATAGCCGCTCAATTTAACATTGCCTCTATAATCCGGCTAATGCTACCTGTAAGTTCATTGGGTGGGGCCCGAACCGTCCTTCAGCGTGCTAGCCCTCGTCTCAGCTGGTCCACTTCCCGTCCCTCCCTCCCCTCCCCCGCCTCCCGCCGCGTTATGAATTAAACCGAACCGAGTCACAGTTCGCGGAAAGTTGATGAGTTAGAATTCAGATGGGCTCCCCGAGTCGTCACTGGCATTATGGGCATTTGTGAGCGGGCTGAACACGGCGGGATCTCAATGGAAGCCATTGACGCAGCCCACCCGGGACCGCCACAGAAGGCGGACTTGTTTGCGTCCGCTGGTGATGACTTTCGACAAGGAGTCAGAGATGGAGTCCATCTTGTTTTTCGCTGGTTTACGTCGGTTGGAGTTTTGGAAGGATACTATTGGAAGTAATCCTTTGGGGTTTGGAGAGGTTATTTACAATGAGAAGTTTGTAAAAGATGATGCCCTGCAGCTCTAAGTTCGACATGAAAGGCTTTCGTTTAGTTCTTGGATGCTTGAGATTCATTTGAGCTAGGTGGGGGATAGGTTTGGTGGGTTTGGGTGGGTGTGTCGCAGTGCCACACTGTCACATCAGTCGCGCCCCGGTGCCACCCGGCTCCATATGGTGTGGAGGTGACAAACCGCAGGCCCGTTTCTCTTTTCATGCACGGTGTGCTTAGAAGGGCGGTACGGCGCGACATTGGCTGCAGCCAGAGTCGCGGTCTGCCGGGAAGGAGTCGGCCCTTTCTCCCATCACTCGTCCCTGACGGCGCCATGCCATCCGACACCCACTGTAGTCTCCCCCGCCCCCGCCCCACAGTCCACATGTGTCGCTGTAGCTGTACCGCCCGGCCTCGGATTACCCCTCCCCTCCCCACACGGCGCGGTGCGCGCGCGCCGGCGGCGTCCCCCCCCCTCCCCGTCCCCCTGCCGGCGGGGCGGCCGCGCGGCCGACCGGCCGGCCCGCGCCAGTGGCTGGGCTGACGCTGTGGTGTGTGCGGGCAGCGGCGGGGCGGCGACGACCGGTGGACATGCTCCAATCGGGCACCCCTGTCAACAAGCGACCCCGCGTCGACGCGCGCGGTCCCATCAGCAACGGTCCGATGCCGCGGCCGCTGGTGGCCCTGCTCGACGGCAGGGACTGCTCGGTGGAGATGCCCATCCTCAAGGATGTGGCCACCGTAGCGTTCTGCGACGCACAGAGCACCTCCGAGATCCACGAAAAGGTCAGTCCAACGGGGATGCTGGGAAGGAAAGTGGTTGGTTCACTTAAGTGACGGTGGGATGGAATGGATGCATGTTTGGGCATTGGTATGAGACTAGGACGTAAAAGGATGAATAATGAATGTTGTGCTGATGGCGTCTTTACTGAAACGTTTTTTTTACGTTTTTCTTTGGTGGCTTGGTACACGTTTTATTTTGTGCGAACACTCTATGCATTTAGCAACTGTCCAGTGTCCAGTGCAGATTTTGTCTGGTGTTTGGTGGCGTGTTGAATGATCTCGTCGATTGCTGTTCGTATTTAATGTGACTTGTTGTATCACTGTATCATGTTGTATCATTCGCCTTCCTTTTAAGCTGTCTCATCCCTGTAATCTAAGTGGCTGCTCACATCGTGTGAAATCGCCAGATTTATAAGAAAAATCGTGTTTGTATGCTTTAGATCAAGGCTTCCGACTGGGATGCGCGCGGTCGGCAAATCTGATAAGTTCGCCATGTTACCGCTCGCTGGGCTTAAGAACTGCGACTCGCGGAAGATACGTCTTACCGATCTATTTCCCGGAGCTAAGTCGGTGCGGCGGTGTTTGAGTTTTGTTTTCGCGGCCCGCCGGCGGTGCTGAACTGCCGTGAATTTATCCGACTGCGCTGTAGAAGTGCTGCCGACTTAAAGGGACCCTCCCACCTTCAAAAAAGTTTATGAATTGGCATGAAAGTGATGTCGCTCGGTTCAGAAAGAGCGAAAACGAATATCTACCAAATTTCATCGAAAAATATTCACCGGTTTTCAAGATATTAGACTTTTACTTTTGTTTACTTTTTGGGATCTCCGCTGTTCCTAGCGACTTTATTTAAAAGTGCGGCATTTGTTGCGCGCAAGGAAGCATATACCACCGCGTGCTACAAAACGTTTTAGTCAAACATTTAACGGACGTTCGAAAGCCTGATGACGTCATCAGATTCCCGTAATGGTTAAGAGATAGGGACCACGCTGGTCCCACCCTGCAAGTAAAGGGAAGAAATTTCTTGAACACCATAAAGCTGCGGGGGTTGCGACCAGGATAAATGGTGGTTTCTGAGCCTGGCCGCAAACTTGGCTATCTCAACTCAAAACTAATGTTAAGGTGGGAGGGTCCCTTTAATGAGCGCCCTGTTGCTCGGGGATGTTTTCGCTGTCAGATTAAAGATTCCGCTGCCAAACATCTGCTTATTCTCAGCTGCCTATTGTCGGGAGCCTGCCTCGGAACCAAGAGGTATCACTTTGGTGGTGCTTGACAGCTGACGTGTCACGTATATTCGACGTGCGTGGCGTAATATGTGCGTTTTTGTACACCTGATTCATTAAATTTTATTTCCCTGGTTTGGCGCCTCGTGGTTTAAAAGACCACTGAACATAGTTAAAGCTTCTCTGATAATTCGGATATTTTAAGTTTGTGTGGTAACGAATTTTCGATGATTTGAGTTCCTTTATTCGTTAAGATTGAAAAGGATTGTTTCCTGTTTTCAGTCAAGAATAGTCAACATCGGGATTAGGCCCCATTAGTGTCTAAATATGTAATGCCCTTTTCAACTGCTAGATTTGCTGATGAAATTGTGTTACTATCGTTCATAAATGTTTGCAGATATGTTGATTTATGGTGATTATGAGATAATTGCACTAACGCCTGGATCGTTTATTTCCCTAATTACCCTACGTCACACACGAGTCAGCGTAGTTAAAACGCCGGCGCCGCGCTGGTGTATCAGAAATTACCGCTGTCGATTTGTCCGCCCAATTGGAAACCATAGCAGCGAACACAAGAACCTCTCACATCATAGATCCAACAGCAAACAGCGATTGAAAAACTCCGCTGGTGTATCAACAGCTGTCGGCGGCGGGCGGGCGTCGGTGACGGCCGCGGCATATTTACGTCTGGACAACGAGTTGCGTTGGAGAGGCCGGAAATAGTGGCGATTTCAGCACCGCAAGAATGGACCGTCATGGGAATGATTCTTTTTTAAACCGTGCACTGTTTTCAGCCGAAATTCAATGGTTACTACAAAATATTTTGCAATTACATTTCCACTAAGAATGAATGCCATCAGGGTTAAGTTTTACTTCTGTTGCTTTTTGTCAAGAAGCATATAGTGCTGTTATATTGCAGTTTTTGCGCGTTTGTTACAAAATATGAAGCGAATAAGCAAAAAGGTTCCAAACTGCAGAGTAACGTTGATGTATACCACTTACCTATTGCAAAAAATCATGTTGACCTCAAGTTCATCTGTTGCATGATTGACTAGGCAGGTTTACACATTCCAAGTTTATCTTAATTGGATCAGAGGTGTCAGTGTAATTCATCAGTGCCAGAAGTTAAAACTTGAGGGAAAACTATGCTAATTGCTCTTGTCCATCCACTTAAAGTTATTAAATATTTTGCTTTGTGTATTCCAAGAGGAGAGGGAACTATTTTATTTGTGCCTTCATGCCAGAATTGAAGGTGGATCATTAAATTTTCAACGCAGTTTATAAACAAGCATTAAGTCTTTCTCGTATATAAGCAGTGGCTAAGAAGAAAAGGTTGATCAATCCTGAAGTTCAGTCATCGTACCTCAACTTGGCAGCAAGATCCCCAAGGACAGAGGATATGTTGTATACCTGTCCTGTAACTCAAAGCATTTTTGTGCCTGCAAAGGCTTAAGTTATTTGTGGTGTGTTCGGAGTAAGGCTATATGGCCGTTTTTGTTGTATGTTTATGTGGAGATTGAATATAACTGTGACCCTGTGCTTGTTTGTATACTAACTACAGTCAAACAGGGAACCAGCACATTCTCATAACATACTCACCTAGCACCTAACTCATAGCTGTGTCCCGCAGGATTTGTACTTGTTCATGTCTCAAGCATTAACAAAGCACTAAAGTACCTAGCTTAGTCATCATTTCCCACATTTTTCTGAGCATCTAACATGACATACAGCAGTGCAGAGCAGCTTCAGAGAAGAAACACATTAAATGCACAGACTCACACCAGCTTACCCAATGAGCCAGTTCCTCAGTTGACTGTTTCCCTGGATGCAGCTTGGCAAGGTGAGCTAACTGTTGGCAAGTTGAAGGTTAGCAGGTAAGATTGAGTTAGGGTGAGTACCTACCTATAACTGGGTGCTACTGCTATGCAGGTCTTGGCTAGGTTGCAAATATGTGTGATGATTGACTATTGAGGTTAGTTAGGTCAGCTGTCGGGTTAGTCAGGTATGTGCACTGTTCAGGTCACATTTCTATGGACACTTGGGGCAAATTAAAACCTAATCTAAGCTAACCCAACCAAACCTACACAATCACTGACTATAGGAACGACACACCTACCTACTTGTGCCTGCATCTCATACCATGTCAAAGTAAAGTTCCTTGGTAGAAAATTACCCTCAGTACTTTTTATCCTGCAGCCCTGTGAAGAAAACTAATACTTCTAAGTTCTGAGTCACTGTTGGCCATCCACAGAAAAAAAAAATGCTGAGAGCTATGCCATTGTATATTGGACCAACAATCACTATCACAAATGACTAATGAACACATATGATAACATCGTTGCATGGATTGTCACATTTACAATCCTTTTTTCAAGAAATACAGTAGTGATTCACATCAAAATCAACATAAAGTGGATTTAGTGATCCAAGCTTTCTCCTCCAGTAGCAACGGAATGATTGCATGTTTCATTTGCCAGACACTGAGTACCTGATGCACATTACCGTCTGCATAGCATCAAGCATAGTAAAGCTGCCCGAGTCCATTCATTCTAGTTTTTCACTCGATAGTTAGCACTAATTTATCTTGCTATTGTAAGTTATCATTCAATATTCATACCAATACATCAATATGCACTCATCAGTCAACATTTTCTGGCATGATACTGCTCAGCGTGCTCTTCAGTATTGATCCAAGATCTCCTGCAAAATTATAGCTTGTTTTCGGCCAATAATGATGAGCTCTTTTAATTTTACTTTTTCTTGCTGATATGTGAGCCCGATCAACTTGCGTTTATCAACCAAAATTTCATAACTTCAAGTTCAACTTGATATTGTTATTGCTCAGGGTCAGCTCAGGACCTCTGTCAGCCTCCTTGATACTTGGGATTGTTTTCAGTCAACATGCTTCTTAAATATGATATACTTCAATGTTCAGGGATTCAAAACATCCAACAAAACGACGTATAAGAGTACGGAAACCACCAGATAAACTTGAAAATGGCCTTGGAACAGAGCCAAGCCGCCAAGCGGTGCTCCATTTGTTTTTGTTTACAATGATTGTAGTGCTGATGTATTTTTACGACTCTGAAGGTCGGCTTATAAAAAATGAAACGTTTTTACAAAAGTTGTAGAGCAAGTAATATTTATCTGAAAGAGCTAAAATATTCAAGAGCCAAACACTATGAAATACATGAATCGGAACGAAAAAGTAACCCAAAAATCAAGCCTAATCACCGGCTCCTAAAACTGCGACAAAATCAGCACTTTTCCCCGCAACTCGTTGTCCAAACGTAAATATGCGTGACGGCGGCCCACAGTGCGCTGGCCGCCACGTGATCATGTAGCGGGAGTCCGGGACCATCTCTGAGAAGCGGGCCGAGTCGCGGCGACGCCGCGTCGGCCGCGCGCGCTCAGTTATTGTCGTCACGCCATCCGATCTCGGACCGACCCCGACCGGCCGGCCTTCGCCCGCTCTGGAATAGCTCACGATTTTTTGTCCGGCTCATGGGCCGTGGGCGTGAGGCCATGTTTAGCCGGCGGCGGAGGCGGACGGACGCGCCGGGAGGGGAGGGTCGGCGCCGGCACCTGTCGGGCCGGCCGACCCGCACCCGTTCGCCGGCCGCCGCGGTCACGGAGCGGCCGGGCGCGCCGCCGCCGGACCGGTCAGGGCAGCCGGCCGAGACCCGCGCGGCACTTTCCCGCCACTCGGAGCGGCGTCCATTAGCGCGCGCCGCCGGCCGGCCCGCCGCGCAGCGCCCGCCGCCACGTAGGCCGTTCTTGCGC